CCTTTGCTTTGCCCTTGCCTTTTCCCTTCTGCTGCTCGGCGTAAGGATGCTGCCGATCTTACCATTTCCGTTGTTTGTTCCAGGCGTCCTTGATCGACTGCATAATCGGCGTTCTTGACCACCGACTTGAAGGAGGTTGCCCATGCGTCGCCCTTGTTCACCTGTTCAACCGCTTCCTTGCGCGTCTGGTACTCATAGCTCATGATGAGCTTGAGCGAGGGGCGATGCAAAGTCACATCGTCCACCGCCAGAGACTCGAGCTGGGCCACGTTCTTGCTGCAGATGTAGCGCAGGTACTCGATGGATGTGAAAGGCGTGAGGTCATCCAGACACGCCTTGTGAGGGTACCTGAAACGAGCAAAGATCAGGTGGTTGATCATCAAGTCCACCTTGGCCCGAAATTCCTCCATGTTGGCTGGATTGGATGTCTCTACCCTGGCCTTCTTAATTTTAACCTGACCTGCCTTTCCAAGATGCAGACTGCCAGTCTCGGCGTCGTCCTCCTCCAAAGTGGCGTAAAGCCATTGGCCGGAACTCACCATTGTCGAGCTGCTCGCACACATCTTCAAAGCTGGGGGTATATACCCGGGCACTCTGCGTCCTTGAGCTTGAAGAACCTCTTCTCGTACTCCGCCCGGTACAACTGCATCTCTACCCCCGGAATCGTCTTAGGCTGCTTCTGCGCCGTGGCATCTGCATCCAGCTCGTCCATGGCCACCCTGCGCTTCACCGCCGACTGCCATGTCAGGTAAATTGCTGCGAATTTGATCGCATCTCTCGGCCTTGCGCCGATATCAACCCCCAACTCCGCTTATTTTGCTGCCTCCAGTAGCGAATCCCGATCTGCATGTGGCAATTGCCGACAGCATCGCAATCGAGGGAACCCCTGCATCAAACAGGGCGGCCTGCATCCCTGCCTCAACCCCCCTTGCATCCAGCAAGCCCTGGAAGCCAGGGTTTAGCGGAGCTATCTTCTCTTCCTGAGTCAAACCAGCCATTGCGGCGCGTGCCCTCCGAGGCAGCCCCTCCTGGGCGAGAGTAAGGGGCTTCCCGCCCGCGAAGCTCTCCTCCTGAGAGCCTAAACAAACGAATCGACCAGTTCAACCCACACAACCCAAAACGAGCGACGACCGCGAAGGGGAACCAGGGGTCCAAGGAAAATGTTGCCATCCACCCAAAACCGTCCGACTCTGATCCCGACGATTGCTCGCCGTCGCCACCCTGCAGAATCGCTTCTGCAATGCGATCCTTCTTGGTGAAACATGTGGAACACAAGTGTTCGCCCTTATCCGGCATTATTTCGGGTCTCTCCACGCCGATCACCGTATAGTCGCAGTAGTGAATGCCTGGAACACGATAGCACCCCCGATCACGCGCAGTGTTCTCCTTTTGGTTTTGCCGAACATGATGTAGGTGCCTAGGTTGTACCTCTCCTCAGGAGCCGGGTCACCCATCTGCTCATCATCACTGAACACCAGTGGGAGAGTCATCGGACCCTTCCGCCTTCTTCCTAATTGGCTTGGACAGCGCATGGAATGGGCCGTTTCCCACGCCTCCCCACGTAGGCGGTGCCAACTTCATGATCTCCGCGTGCGCCTGAGTGGGAGTCCTCCCATGCACGGCTTGGAGCCATAGTGCAAAGTTGTTGAGGACCGACTTGTCGTCCGTGTAGTCCGTGATGCAATACTGGGCCTTGATCTTGCTGGCCACGTGCGCCTGAGCTTGCGTCACCGAGCGCTCCGACCAATACGAGGTGGATTCAGGGATCATCAACCGTTGGGGCTGCCCGTCTTCGCCCAAGCGGATCGAATAGAGCTCAGTGAGGAGCGCCCGAGAGTAGCACATCGCCTCGGGATAGGAGAGCATGCCCTTCCGGAAACCTCTCAACGTCTCGTTGGGCTTGCGCATCAAGAAATCTCTCTTCTCCATGGCGATGTCCTTGTTTATGGTCATGAAGAGCTGGCGCCCCACCTTCAACCAGTCCTTGCGCACCAGCCATGCCTCAGAGGAGACATAAAACTCAACCACTTCCACACGGCGGCCGACCCCATTGTTTTGGCTCTCAAGATCTCACCCTGCAGGCCGACCATGCGGTCGAAGTCCAAAGCAGCGGGAGGAACGCCTTGGCTGTCATGCGAACGAAGCCCTCCCCCAAGCTTAATTAGCTTATACTTATACCAGCAAAAGACCCTTTTGAAGGTCTGGAGAGTGACATCCAGGACCCCGATCTCCCATGCTCTCGCAACCTCCACCGGCATGCGAGCTGCCTTCGTCCTCTGCCAACCCGTCCATGTGGTGCCCTGCTCGACCTCCTTGAGGTAGTTGTGAATGGACTGGGAGTTGGAGAGTCTCTTCTCTGGGGACACCTCGGCTGCGGCCTCCAAAAATGCGATGCACTTGAACAGGGAACCCGGCGCGCTGCGACCGCATGGTTCTTCAAGCAACAGGGCCACATACCCAATGAAATCCCCCGGCGATCTTAGCCATGTGGTGCCGTAGATGGACTCCATGTAAACCTGGACCCTTCTACCATACTTCACATGTTGTCTCAATGTAGATGCCCTTCTGCCTGCTGCAACCCGTGCGGCTAGCTGCTTCGTCGCCTCCGGCTCCCTTGCCAGGCTCTCCAGGAACCCGGCATCTTCAAGCAGCTTCATGAGCTCGCCGATCCGTCGTTGTCTTTCTTTCTCTTCTGCCTTGGCTCTATGCTGCTCATCTGGAGCGTTGGCCAAGGCTTTCTGCAGGCGAGATTTCCAAGTCACCCTGGGCATCGTCTTTCGTGCCAACACCAATGAAGTGCCGACTTCCGAGACCGTCGATGCCAGCCCTCCAATCTTCTTCTCCAGCATCGAGGCATCCTTGTACAAGAGCTTCTGGTGGTGGTAGAAGGTGCCGTCCCCGATGTCCAGGAAACGTTTCTGCCGTTTTGCTTCTCGACGCAAACCCTCCATCTCATCAGGAGTCCACCCACGCGCCATGACCGGCAACATCTCCTTGATCTCTTCGTCCGGCATCTGGTGAAAGAAGGTAGCCAACTCCCACCCTTCGTGCAGAAGTATCCGCACGGCCGGCTCCATGGCGCACCGTCGCCCTGGCCCCAAACCTTTCTTTGAAGCCACAACTGCGTGTCCGACACGTAACGCTATCGGTCGAACTTTTCTTTCCTTCTAGCTACTACAAGGCAGCATATGCCACGGTTCAAGGGAAAGCATCTTGCAGTGAGTAGGTCAAGTGAAAAGTTCACCTGACTAGACTTCAGTGCATGTGTCATACGCTGCGCAGGTCTCATTGATGCGGATGATGCACTGCAAACTCGAGCAAACAAACAAGCAGCCCAATCTGGCTTCAATGATGCGAATGAACCTCAAACCAGGAGCAAGGACGCTACTATTAGCAAAGGGCATCGCTACTAGGAGCAAGGACGCTACTAGGGGCTCCTGGCCTTACTAGGAGCAAGGACGCACCTCAAACCACGCTGCCTTTTTTACCTACGCTCTTTCGAGACTTGGAACCAACTCCATTTACAGTAATTGGGTGCGGAATCAGTCAACAATGCGTGAAACCAAGCCTTGCAACAGGGAAAGGCAGGCACAGTTTCCAGGGTGAAAGAAATGGAGCACTTGATTCACTACGAAGTACCACCAGCCTTTTTCGCAAGGGTCCAGTGCAGCCTCCAAAAAGAGGGTTGTGTTTTGTGGCTATCCGGACCACAGAGAAGTTACAAGAAAGAGTCAACATGGACATTGACATACAGTAGACATACATCTACATGAAGATGTACGATAGTGATAATATGAAATGATGGCCACAAAGAAGAATATGTATCAATGAAGCTGACCCTGTTCTTTGAGAAGAACCCTTCGCCGGGGCTTTCGGAAGCAACCTGCTGCTTAGATGCATTGGGGTTCATCCCAAACTCTAGCAGCATGTTCAGCTCTTCCATGTCTCCAGACTCAGCTGCAAAGAGCCTGGCGGCTGCAGACTCGAAAACAATGACAAGGACTTTGCATCAAACATCATTAAACTACGTATAAGTCTACAGGCTCTTCAAGGTGCTCAACTGAGAACCTCATCCATGAAGCATCCTGAATCTATTAATAATTTGGCGCATGGAGTGTCAGAGACGTCAAATGCCGTTTTTGTGTTGGTGCAGTGGTCGCCATGTCACAGCAAGTTAAACGTGTCTCTGACCTCTTTTGACATACTGTATTTTGGAATTGAATGCCCTGCCAAGGCACATAGAGGCAATACAAAACTTCTCCTCATTCGGCGCCTCGCAAAGAAATACTTTAGATTAAAATTGCCGTCTCCTGTGCTGATAAGACTTTGGGCGATGCTGTCATGATATAATGCGCATCATGTCCAGCCTCCTTGGCTAAAAACTGTGCCTGCAGTCACAACATGTACTGCTGAAAATTATGTAGCAATGGCCCAGGAAAACGAGGTTTGGTGCCCCATTCAAACACCGGCGACATAGATTGCTCTAGCTCCTCTGTTCTCTGGCCCGCCTTTGCAGGAGGCAAAGATAGGTCCACTGACATGGTTGCCATGCAAAAGTGCCAAGCATGAAGGTGGGAAGCTGGTTTGATTGGACTTTGCCACCTTTCCTGGTAACGAGGTTCATTTCAACTTAGAAACTTACATGACTTACATATTGTATCAAATTGCATGATTGACGTGGCGATGGTTCCAACTGCCGACATGCTGCTTTTCACTGGAAATCACGAAATATGGCAGATTCTAGGTTGTTCTGTAACATCCAATTGCGATGTCAATCTAAGCTTCGCTCATCTACATGTGCTCTTTGTTGCTTTCCCATTCTTAGAATAGTGCTAAGTGTGAAGCGAAGGCTGCAAAAAAAGCATGCACGACTTGACCGGTCAAATACTAGCACAATCTGGAGAGCTGAGGTGACTTTGCCCATGTCCAAAAAGAATGACAACAGAACCTAGCAATCGCTGGCTGAAATGGGTGATCAAAAAGGACAGGTCTTAAGAATCTTAAGACTTGAATCTCAATCGTCCCAAGTGAAGGTGGGCGGACGATTTTGATCCCCCAAGTTGGCATCTCCAGTCCGCAAACGGCAGAGGAGCCTCCCAAGGAACATGATGGAGCCCTCTCAGCATCGAGTTTGTTTCTGGGCCGAACACTAGCAGCATTTGCATTAGTTTGATGGTAGATACACACTTTGAATATCTTTGAACTGTTTTCAATCGCTTGATTAAAAGCTTTGTTGGAACCCCTCATCTTTGCCTGGCGCCTGGGAATCAAACACACAGCCCAAACCAAACACAAGCATATCGGCCTGCCTGCCCAGCAGCTAGGGACTTCAAAACAGCACTGGCATCTTGATTGGCAGGCAGGAGCCGACCTCAAAGACAAACCGTGGATCCATCACTAAGTAGAAAAGATATCTCCACAGTACCGAGATTGGGACAAAGCACCTGCCGCAAGTCTTCAGGTAAAGTATCACAGGCCTTGGAAAGAAGATAGTTCGGTTAACTCAAGACTCTTCTCAAAGAGAATCTCATGTTGCATAACTCAGCAAATCCGGTATCGAACTTTGTGCACTCGCCGGATCACTGGAATGCTCACACACCATAGTGAGGCCCAGAACAGTCTCATCCAGAATAGTTTGTGGTTTGCCAAGGAGAAGAACCAAAAGCCATCAATGACCCGATTGCTCTTTGGCTGGAGACACAGTCACACTCCGGGACATCATTTTGAGATGCACGCCACCACCTTGTCGCCAAGGGCAAGGCCTGAAGTCAACTTTACCGCATGCAGGGTCCTAATGGGATGACCAATATGAGTTAGTACACCGTGCAAATGCTTATGATGGGAGACAAGCACTTTGGTTTAGTCTTGCAGTGAGCCGCTGATATTTGCATTGTGGTCAAGCTGTGGTTCGTGCTTCTGAAGCATTTCCACAAGTTACCGGCTTACCAGTCTGTGCAGCTGTTGATCCGAGGTTGCCATGTCGATACCAGTCTTGTGCAATCTGTGTCCTTCGTCTTTCAACAGTTTGACACATGCCTGGAAGCTCAATGCGAAAGCGATGAAGAAAATTCCGAGGGCACCAAGTCAAGTCTTTGGGCAAATCCTCCGCAAGGCTTTGTAGTCAGTACTGCTGACGGACGGTTTTTGAACATCTGCCTGACAACTTCAAACAGGCATCCAAACATATCCAAACGCCCCCGAGCCCAGACGTCCCAAACCGAATGCGAACATTAAATTTCTGATAATTCCTGTATCCTTTGGGTTGGCTTGCACCATCCGCATCAAGTTGCATAACGACTCGTGGAATGCAGGTTCGAAGGCGCGCATAACCCCAACGCATTGGCTCAGAGTCTCTTCCTTCAAGGTAGTTTTCTTAACACTTGTCTTGGAATCTAGGATCAAATAGCATCTAGCTTCCAGATTCATCAGCAGGGTTTTCAAACAATTTCACGCGCGGCATACTGTATTACCCAGGCTCCTGTGGGGCATATCGCCCATCGCAAACCACTGGATGTCCCACATGTGCCAAATGACAACGAATTTGGTGCTTTCCTGGGCGGAAACATCTGTGGCAACTAGCAGCAAAGCATGTACCAATGGTAAAAGCACGTAAAGGTAATGCTCGAAGCTGGCAATGTCTACGACTGTTTCAAACATTCATAAAATATCATAAAATGCTTGATCCCATCGAGAGGGAGAACGCTCAAGTACAGTATAAGGCAGGTCGCTTCCCGTCACAATGGAGATGACAACCAAACCTCAAAAAGATGAGTATAATCGAGGAAGAAGCAATGGCTTTGAGAGGATTCCAACAGTGCCCACAGCAGCCACTACCCATGCTGTCACCGTCATCCAATAATCTTTAAAGCGCCCAAGTTCTTCAGCCACCAAACTGTAGAGATCTTGTTCACCAGATCTCCTGAACCTCAGGTAGTTCAAGGTCGCGTGTTGGAACTCTTGGTTCAATGCTCTGTCTTGGTTCGGACACATTATCGAGGTTTGACAGTGAAATTGAGTTTGATTGTGGTGCTCCATCTATGCCCAAATGGCACGGGATTTTTTGTTTGGGCGCGGACCAAGCAATTGGCTGCAAGAAAGTTTTGGCAGGTGCACCGCGGTCATAGTCCACAAGACTGGAAGCATCTTTACTCCAAATGGGTGCACTGACCTGCTAGGCGGCTTTACGATTCTGCAAATTCACTTGAATCTACGATTTCATCCCCGATGTCATGCGCTTTCAGATGCATCAAAACACACCTCCGTTGAATAATGATGAATAATGTGTCCTTTCGTGGCAGTCCAGCAGTGTATATCGGCCTCTCTCAAAGTAGCTGGCATCCAGCCATGGCACAGCACCAAATACTCCCGAGCCTTTCACTGCAAATTTCACCCCCCACACAGAGTTATGCTGAGGTTTGCCCTCCTCTCAAAACAAGCGATTAAGTACCTGACCACGTCATGAGTGTCTTGCCTGAATTGAAGCAGCAGAAATGCCTCGTCCGGGGCCCATCGCACGCATGATTGTCGACTTGAATTGTTGAGCATGTGTCTAGAAGTGTTTTTAGAAATAGGAACAGTTTGCTTTGAGGAAGCAGCAAGCAGATTATTTTGACTATTAAGACGATGAGTAGCTTAATAGTAGAGCTACAGTGGGACTTGACTTGAATCTTTATGGATCTTTGCAAATTGCCTCTGGCTTAGTGCTCCAAAGACTCAGGCTCAGTATTCCCACTGCTAAGAACGGTCTGACTTCGCTACCACGAAGCAGCCTCGTAGGTCAATGCGCACAACACCAAACCTGAAGATTGAGCATCCAAGCGTCCTCAGTAAGCCGTTGCGGTTGCAAAATGACATTAAAAGCTGTATTGACGCTTGGGGCTGGGGGTTGGTGACGAAAGCTAGCTGCATCTAATCACATGGCCTTAAAACGGACGGGGATGTGCAATGTGAAATGTCATGGTTCCAAAACGGATGCAATCAGAACGATTATGCTCCCAAATCTGACACGCCCAATAGGGAGTTGAACCTGCGCAGGGGAGGTCTGGCAGGGAATACTTTAATTACTAGGTAGCCGGTTTACTAAGCTCGCTAAATCCTTTAGCGACGATCTATTCGATCAAACAAAACGCAACAAGTCAAAACGTGAGAAAAGTCGAAAAGTCAAAAAGGTAAAGGAAACGAAATCACACAGCTACTTTTCGACTTGTTTAGACGTTTCGAGACTTTTAAACCTTTGAGACTTTTGGACTCTTCGATTTTGTGCTGGTCTCGCTTTTCCCACTTACCAAATTTTCACGAAAGGTTCGTAAAAGAGAAGAGAGGTTCCTTTGACATCACCTCAAAGTCCACCCGTTGATGTCTCTTCTGTGAAGTACAAAAGTTGCAACTTTGCACCCTACCGACTGGTCCAAGACATCATAGGGACAAACATGCATGAATGTCTGCTACGCGGGAACATGATGAGTGTTTTGGATGTTGGGTGCCTTACAGTTGTTTCCAGCTGTTTACGCGAGTCTTGGCATGCAACAAATGAGGTGGACACCTTTGCGTGCTCCACTCGCGGGTGCATGCTACACAATAGGGGCCCTAGAAAGAAACCCCGGGGGGGCGTTTTGTACCTACAAATGCGGCACCCCAGGTCCAAACCAACCAATCCATTTATACAATCAGGGCCCCCAAGATGGAACCCTTAAATCCATAATATCGGGTTGGGGGTTGGCCATAGTGGGCTCACACAATTTGCCAGAAAAGTGCGCTCCCTATAAAATCAACCCCTCCAAGCCAGACAAAGAGTCCAACAAATGCCATGCGTCATCCCGATGCATTTCCCGATGTGGTTTGCCAAGCGTGTCCCCACGCATTTACCTTTGGTGCTGGAGTTAAATGTCAAAACAGTCTCGCACCAGAATCTTGACCCTAAGCCAGTTTTCGCTGCTGGAGTCTCAAACTCCAAAACGGTTTGACACCCAAGTTTTTTACTTCCAAAACGGTTTGGTGCTGGAGTTAAATGTCAAAACAGTTTGGCGCCCAAGATCATGAGAAAAGAAACCCATGTACGTGAGGACCACAAACCTAAGGATCGATGAGACAAAAGCACTTCCACAAAATGCTTCAACACCCTGAGCAGATGGTGTGGGAGTTGGGGAGAAGGATGGCTCCTGAATATGCCCAAGGATTCAATTTGTTCATTTTCTCAAAACCATCACCCTTCCCACTCTTCCAAAATGAGACCCTCCAGAGACCCTGATTTTGTAGAGATTGAGTGGGAGGCGGGAAGGGTGATTCCTGAATATGGCCACAGGGTTTAACTTCATTGATTTTGTCAAAACCAGGAGTTAAATGTCAAAACAGTTTGGCACCGAAGTCTTTGACTCC